ATTCATTCATGTGGCTGCTTTTATGTCCAGTGCTGATACTAATCCTGCAGCAGGACAGACTTTAGCTTGCACTGTTCTCAGCTGCCTGGGGCCCACATGCACACTGGCTGAGCAGCTCCACTGCTGTTCCTGTTGCTGCTTTCAGAGGATTTTTCTTCAAGTTCAAAGTTCTCCCAAAAATGCATTCAGTTCCCCTGTGCTGATGTACACTGAAGGATTTTTCTTCAAGTCCAAAGTTCTCCCAAAAATACATTCAGTTCCCCTGTGCTGATGTACACCACTACTACTACACCAGAACCACAAAACTCACCTAATCTTGAATCTAGTCCTTGGATCACTGTTCCCTTAACTAAATCTCTTTTTATTGTATTTACTTGTCTTCTGGTGTGAAGGACTAAGGAGCATTAAGGCATGGTCATTTTAACAGAAAATGAGTGCAAAGGAATTGGGTATTCCTGTCAGAAGACCTGAATACTACTTATGGTAATACTACAAACTCTGCATGACTGGACAAATCAGATCATAAACGCTGTTAGATAAAGTCAGATTTAGGCAGTTAAAATCCAGCAGATTCTTTTTTCAGAAGTATGTATGCAAAATAGCACATGCTCTTTTGGAGTGGAACACTCACTATATATACATTTGTACAACTGGTATGACAGATGCAAATGAGGCAACATTTAAAGGTTATCATGTTTTAAAATAGACTGAGCTGTTATGCCTGCAGTTGAGATTGTCCAACATTTTCCACTACAGTGTCTTGCAGCTTTGGCTACAAGTTACCCATCTTTAAGAAGCTTTCCCCTTTCCTTCCCCTGTTTCTGAAAGTTGAGCATGAGTTGCTCTAGGATATTAGATAAAACACTTTTATCAATGCTTATGAGATTTTTCCCTACTTTCACAGCTTGAATTGCTTCTTTGAATATACCTGCCCCCTCCCAGAGTTTGAAGAAGGAAGTGGAAATGTGAGAGGTGGCTGGTTCTGGGGTAAGAAAAAGTCTTTTTGCTGTACTTATAAGAATGCATTCAGATTTAGCCAAGCAGTGAGCCCTCAGTAAGGCAGATGGTGCTCACTGACAGCTCTGTGCCAGGAGTGCAGTGACCCAGTGCTGCTCTGCTCACACCAGTCTCAAGGCACTCGGTCCTACCTCAAGGTATTCCATCTCCTCATGCTGCCCCAAGAGGGACAGAGGGAACCAGGCCACGGGACTGACCCCAGCTCAGGAGGATGAGGATGCTGGCAAATCTGCCAGACTTTGAACTGCCAGCCAGCCATTCACTCAAGCCTTAGGTTTTCTGTTTCACGGTGTAAGTAACTCTGTGTGGTGCTGTATGCTTCCTTCTCCTCTCTCCATCACTGGCTATGTTATACAATACAACATTCCACTACATTTCACTGTCGTTTTTAATCTTTGTAGCTTCTGTAAGTTCAGTCTATTTGAACTTGGTCAAGACTGTTCCCCATAGATGTACTGACTTACTAAGTTTGGTTTCATGGCAGTTTGTAAAAAAATGTGCAGGAAAAACATGGTTGGGAATGTTTAACAAGGAGCCTACTCCAGGTCTTCATTATCAGAATAATCCTTGCTCATATTTAGCAGACTTGGGGAGATAGGTCATTTACAGAAATATGTGGGGCTACTTACTGTGGTCACTACCCAGTCACTACTTACTGTGATTAAGGGCCCCTCACAATACCTTCATTATAAAAAAAAATGTACTTGCCCATTAAAATCTTGATTTTCATTCACAAAAATAACACATTTGCTCCAGTATGTTAAATCAATTAAAAAGTTGTGGTCTGACTAGATGACAGTCAAGAGTGCAGGGGATGGTGGGTTTACATTCTGGCAGCAGCTGCTGCAGTTTGCAGCTACTCCCAAAAAAATCTCACCCTAAATACAAAAGGCAAAGTCTTTGCAAAATGGTACTTTTCACAGGATCACAGAATATTTGGAGCTGGAAGGGGCCCTCTAGGATCATCAATTCCCACTCTTGGCCCTGCACAGGACAGCCCCAAGAATCCCACCATGTGCCTGAGAGCATTGTGCTAATGCTTCTGGAATTCTGTCAGGCTTGGTGCAGTGACCACTGCCCTGGGAAGCTGTTCCAGTGCACAACCACCCTCTGGGTGAAAATCCTTTTCCTAATATCCAGCCTAACCCTCCCCTGACACAACTTCAGGCCATTCCCTGGGTCCTGTCACTGCTTCCCAGAGAGAAGAGATCAGTGCCCAATGGATTTCTACCACTTTGCTTTTTCAAATGTTGAAAACTAATCTCCTAAAATGTGCCAGTTTATGCTAGGACATTTTAAATATTGTTCCATGAGAAACACAGGGGAGGAAACAAAGGCCAGCATGACTCAGTATTGTTTACTCTGAGCCACATCTGAGCCTGATGCACTAAGATGATGGGATATCTCAGGGGAAGAATTGGAAGGAATTCCAGCTCTTAAGAGAAGTGGAGGGAGAGTCAAAAGAAGAACGATGTGATGCTTCCTCTGCAGGGTGTGCCTTACTTTTGTCTCATCTATCCAGCTGATATCTTTCACCAACTGAGGCACTTTAGCCTCTGCTCTCCTTGTCACAAAGAGGGCCACTGACCCATCCACACTCTCTGCTTCCCTTCTTATTTTAACTCTATGAACTTCTTCAGGATCAAAAGTAATAATGCTAAACTCGTGTGAAGGATGCCTTACTCCCATTGAAGGCTAAAGGATTTTTTAGAGGGAGTTTTTCTAGAGCATTATTCCCTAAAATCATCTCTGTAGATTATTAACCTCATCAAAAGGGTGTGATTATTTAATGTATACATCCCACTTCAAAATAAGGGCCCTAGATCGTTTCTGGTTATCATGCATTGCAGGTATTTCATATCATGGTAATCAAAGTTCAGTTGCATTTGAAGTAGTGAAGCTGTTTTTCTGTTATCATTCTGACTAAACACGAATCCCTCCTCATCATTGTGCCTCAGTTTCTGAGGAGGATTCCCAAACTGTCATACTTTCCAAAATTATTTAGTTTAGATTCCTTGAAAATAATTTTTGGTGGGGGAAAACCCTTAAATGCCAACTTTCTTAAATACATTTTGCCTGATTTTTAAACCTGCATTGTGTATGGGTTTAATATATCTTGATATATGTTTAATACCAAAATGCTGATTGTAAGTTTTGCCATAGCAGTCCTAGGTGGAGCTAAAAATACATCAGTTACCTGCAATCCTAACATATTCTCTCTCTACTGAGAATGAATATGGAAGTTGTTTGGAATTACATCCTGGGAAGAACTGTGATTCCTGCCTAGTCACTTGTCCCCTGTCTCCAACTTTTAAAATTAGTATTACCTTGCTCTTCCTGACAAAGGCACTAGATTCCATTCATCTCTTTCTTTTCTGGCAATACAACCATGCACAGAGATCTGTTCTTTACTGGCAGGGCAGTTTCACAATGGTATAGGAAAATGAATGCTAAAAGCATAGAGAAAAATTATTTAAAATATTTTGCTCCCTCAGGGCAGATTCCCAACTTCTCTGGTAAGTAAATTTTTCAAACTTTATTGTCAGCAAACCGGTCGGAACGCAGCTCCTGAACCTATAAAAACATTACCTTACATAACTCTGACAGTCTTTAGTATTATTGTTGCACATAAAGTTCTTGGAATTTTATAGGAACTGTGCAGTCTGCCAGCAAAACACAGGACAGCAGTCCAGATTCTCGGACCACATGACACATTTATGTGAGGTGATGGCCAAGAAGCATTACAGAGTATTAAAAGTAAATGTATATTACATATTTTAGATAATGCTACGCATATTACTATAGGAGAGGAAATAGCTGTACAAATGACTTCTTAGCAAAGCCAGCTAAAAGCTGCTGGATAGTCTGCCAAGGTTGTAATATAACCACAAGCATGTGCTGAACACTTCTTAGAGCTCTTAGAATAGAGAAGTTGTTTTCTTTAGCCAACTGAAAAAGTCCTAGTCTCATGAAATAACAGAACCATAATTGAGTTAGAGAGACTCTTCCAGCTTTAGCAAACCAGTTGGAAAGATTTCAGCTGATACCTGAATGGCACATTGCTTTATAGGCATTACCCATAACGTCCCCTAAACCTATTTTATTCTAAGTAATGGATTAGCTGTTATTCTGCCTTTCTGTGCACTTCTTCTGTAGATGATGAGATCCTGTAGTTGAGAAAACAACAGCTTCAGTGCTTCTTGTGACCCAGACGCAAAGCAAATCAACATCTCTTTCAGCCTTGCAGACTTGTCAGATCCTGCATTAGGCAGAGTGTTTTCAGCAGAGTGTCCACAGCCCTTGGCTAAAACGGACAGGCAAAAAGTCTTAGACACTTTCTAAGACCAGATGCTAAATGAGGAAGCCTAACAGGAACTACAGCTTATTTCTTACTTGGGTGCTATTGCAAGCTATTTTGAGCCTCAGCAGAATTTGCTGAGAGGATTTTGCTGTTTAAATTCAGGCTAACCAGACCCTTGAGTGTACCACTTTCCCTCAGTTTGGTAAACCATCGTCTTGTAAAAGAGGCTACAGGCTTAGTCTTGCAAGTTTTGTAGTTCTTGCTTTTCCTACATCCTTCCTGCACCCAAAAGACAGGGTGTTCTACAGAGTTGATGGGGAAAAGAAAATCAGCTTGGCCTAGTGAAAAATATTGTCCAACAGGAGTTAAATGAGGTGAGTGCATAAGCAAGCCTTGGCTACTCCAGTTGTGCAGCCCTTCTCTGGCTTTGGGCAAGCTACAGAGGACAAGTAAGCAGCAGTCAATGAGCAAAAGTGCATAGCAGTCCAGCAGAGAACTGGGAGTCAGGGTGATCATGAAATGCCAGAAGCCATCAAGTTCCTCCCAATGTCAAGAGAGCCCAAGTGCAGACACATGTCAGCTACAGCTTTGTAGCACTGCTTCTCACCATACCCAGGCTAACCTGTGTGCTGGCATCTTGTTAGCAAGAGCCACATTAAGTCTGCAATGAAACCACTCTGCAAGGACTTTTCAAGTACAATCATTTGTTCTCTTTTCCCTCTACTCCCAGTATAGGAAGGGCAGATCCACAGGATGATTCGGTAATTGCTTCTCAAGTGCTGCCTCCATTTGTAATCTAAGATTTTTAATGATAAAAGCTTTATGATGTTTTAAGCAAAATTATTATTTCCCTCCAGATTCAGTTTTGAACTTCTGAAGATCTAATACTGAGTTATATTGGTAAACTGACTTTGGACATTTTTTCCCTTTCATTCAAGGCATGTGCATGTGATTCCAAATGCAATTTGCATCTGCTCTTCAGATTGTAAGGTGGGCCATGCTAATTGCTGTCATCTCAGCCCCTCAGCAGCAGGAAGCAAGTTCATGAGCATATGCTGTGCTTCACATCATACTCTTCTGGATGAAGTCAGTCACAGATCAAAGGTGACCTCTAACTTGACCCCAATAATAATGCAACAGAAAGAAAATGTGCAGCTTCACTGGGATCCTTCAGATCAAATGATTAAAATTACATCACTCATTTGGTCCGAGAGTCGTTTTAAACTGAACACCGTAAACAGATCAATGTCTCCAGCTCTGCGTCAGCATCTCTATAGTAGCAGGAAACAACTATCCTGTGACATCCTATTCTCCTGCCAACACCTAGCCTGGGATGCAGTCTTTGAACTGAAGTTGTCTTGAGGGATCCTGTCAACACACAGACTAACTTATTTTTTTGTGCTTTCTTATACTGATGCTTTTCTGTAGGCTTGAAGAGTTCTTACTGAACTGTGCCTAAAAAACAGAGAGCAGATTTGGTGGGCAGTTTGGGAGGGTTTCATTTGTGCAGATGTGAGGAGAAGTAATCATTCACTCACATCCCTTTCTCTGAGTCTATGGTTAAGGACATCCAGCACTGGAGTGTTTAGCCCTAGTTGTTTCATGGCATCTGTTGTCCATGAATACAACGTCTCTGCTCTATAGTCTCATTTCAGCATCAAAATATCAATCACACCACATGCTTTCATTTCACAAGGTCATTTATAAATGTAACAACACTTCCCTGTTGCTGTCAGCTTGCTGTACGACAGACTCCAGATGTCCTGCCTGGCAGAACACTGCTAGTAGCACACTAGAAGCAAACCTGCCTGAATGGTTTGGTTTTCATTGAAACTTCTTCCGTCTTCTTGCCGAGAAATTTTGCTTTTCGCTATCTCCACCTCAAACCTTTACTTTGCTAGAACTCGCTACTGCTTTCCTCAGTGACTGGAAAGGGAGAGGTTTGCTTCCAAGTAGGTTAATTTAAAACAACTAGAAGTGTATCTGTGGAAGTCAATGAAAATTAGCTTCCGACATGAGACAAGGCCAGTTCTATTTCAGCCACTATTATCATATTACAGCAACCCTAAAAAGCTCCAGATAGTTGAGCTGCTTTGAGCCACCGAGTTCATTATTGCACGTTACCCCATAGAAAACATTGGCATTAACGACAAATATCTCTTCGTTGTCAGCACTGATTTTGTGATATTAAAAATTCTTACTGTGATTTTCCAAGTACATTTGCTGTTTGGAGGGTAGACTCCAGGAAATCCTTCACTCCCGATAAACCCTGACTCTCCAGATACAACTCCTCCACATGTAAACGTAGGCCTGAGAGTAACAGGAAAAACAGGGCTTAGTTTTTAAGTCTATTTCATTTATTCTTTGTATAATAGTCAAGAGGCACCGACCGTCTTGAAAACACAGCTTAAGTCCTGAATAACATTGCTAACGTTAAACATATGTTTCATTATTTACATCATTTCACTGTTGACGTAGAGTGTGCGATTTAATGCACAAACTTAGGTGTAGAGAAAATTAACTACTTGGGCCTTAATTCTGGGTTTGCATAGGCTCTGATATCCTTCCCTCCCTTTTAACTTCGCAAGACCGAAGGTGTGGCGGCATGAAACATCATTGCAAACTGCTATTATAAGGAAAAAGTAATTATTAATGGCTTTTTAGAGCACATGGAAGAGCAGTTAAAATAGCACAGTCATAAAAATAACTTTTCATTCCTTTTTATGCTTTGAATGCAGATAATTTAATCCAGTAAGTCACTTTGCTAGTTTTCTGTACCACAGTAGCACAATGAACCCCAGTGCTGGTGCCGAGCCCTGTGGCCCAGCTGTGCCCAGGTGAGCTCAGGTGAGCTCAGGTGAGCTCAGGTGGCAGTGCCAGCTCTGCACAACCTCTGTGTGGAACCAGAGCGTCAGCGCTGAGGACACGAGTGCGAGCACTCCGCGGCACCCCGCACACCCATGGACACCTGCAGGGAGGGGCGGGGGGACGCGGTACCTGTGCGCGGGATGATGCGGGACCTGCGCGGGGGTCAGAGCACAGTACCTGTGCGGGGGATGAGGTCCCTGGGCGGGGGATGCGGGACCTGCGCGGGAGATGCGGTACCTGCTCGAGGGGCTGTAGGGACGCGGTACCTGTGCGGGGGATGTGGTACCTGTACTGGGGATGAGGTACCTGTGCGGGGGATGTGGCACCT